TTTCCGCAACAGCACCGGCAGGAGACCTAACAGGGCGATTTCCATTCGATTGCACGGAATTAGTGCCAGCAGCGGCAGCAGCAGCGTAGCTCATATCGGGTAAAGATGTCTTAGCAGCAAAAACAGCATTAGCAGTGCACGGGGTTGATGGCTTCGTGGTAGTAGTGGTAACAGCAGGTCAATTGGCAGTGCAATCTGCGACAGTATTTGTATCCATGAGGCCACCAACTTGACGCACAGTATTAGAGCCATGCGAACTAGTATTAATATTAATATTAGTAATAGAATTAGACAACAAAACAGCATCAGCGAACGACGAGCAAGACGGACTAGTAGAAGCAGTGCTAAGAGAGACAGCGGGTGCAGATTGAAGAGCAACGGATGACAGTGATGTAGGCGCAGTAACATAGGTGTATGTGCTATCGTTAGTTACAAGTTATTGACAGCTGTAGCGATTGTCACAGCAGAATCCAAATGAGCGGGAGAGATACCGTTAACGTTACTGAAAAACTAGTGCCCGTGGCGAATTAAATGCATGAGGGACAGCGGAAAGCTCAACCAGAAATGTATAAGATACACAGTTTCGGAGATTGACATTATGATTCAAGTTGTTATTGCATCGAGGTGTCGAATCGATATAGTCTTTAGCTCAATGTGATAAATCTTTGAATTTAGCATCAAAAGTGTTTGAAATAAGATCAACACTAAGGGCGGTCACTCAATGTCTGGTTAACACTAATCTCCGGTTAAACATAGTTATCGACGTTACTGACTCCCTGTTATATGCATGGAGTCGAAGTTGTCGATAACGATGCTTAACCGCCGATTAGTGTTAACCAGACATTGAGTAACCGGCCCTAAGCTTTTGAGTTACCAGAACTTCATCCAGAGCCTTAACGATTTTCTCTGGCATGACAACACACTCATCACAAAGATATAATAGATTACGTTTAGTTTTGACAAATTGAAATCATATTCAGAAACGTCTTTGCAGCGAACACGATGAAAAGTTTTTTACCAAACCCATTACACGGCAGCAGATTAGCATCAGATCTTGAAAAGGCTTTAGTACATTTTCCGCAAAAGTTCTCCATTACGAAAGAAAAGATAATAAAATAACAGAGCGAATGAAAAGCATGTCTGCACACACCGAACACTTGTAACTTGCTTGTTGTTGTTGCTTTGCACTTCTTGTTGACATTTCGCTTTGGTAAATATCCAAAAACAGAAAAGCGAATACAAAGAATTTCGTTGTTTTTATTATTTTATTTTGTAGGCAACCAGTAAACTCGTACAATTTAATTTTAGTCACAAAGTACGTAGATTATATTACTGTTTGGTCCGACGCGTACTTTCAGTGGAATTTGTCTCTTTAGGAAGCAAAAGAACTGCTATTTATTGTCAGCAAAACTTTACACGTCTACACTCCGCTCATTCTCTTCACAACTGCAAGTGTTTTCATACGCAAGCGAGTCGGCATATATAGCTGTAGCCTACTGGAGGCTTAAGGATGAATGCAGCAACACTCGAACGTGCTTCATCGCCGAGAAGACCAAATGTGCACTATCAAACTCGTATCCGTTCCTCGCCTTGAGCTGCAGTCGGCAGTGCTCACTGCGCGCCTTAGACAAAATATTGTCAACAGCCATGATAAGGTCCTGGTCAAGGTAGTGATGTGGTCTGACGCGAAAACCGTTCTAGCATGGATAAAATCAGATCACCGACGTTATAAGCCCTATGTAGCGCATCGAGTCAAGGAAATCCTGAAAAATAGCGAGTTGAACGGACTTTAAGACACGCCCTAGAGATCGAAAGTGTGAGTCTTTTTGGTTAGCAGGACCGATCTTCCTGAAAGAAGAAGAGAAAAACTGGCCACCGAAAACAATATGCGACGCTACCAATGTTGAACTTCGAAATAAATTTACGTTTATTTTAATACAAATTGATACCAACTTTTTAAAGAAATTTTCATGTTTTTTTCGACTGAAGAGAGTAGTAGTCAGCTGGATGCTGAGATTTGTGAAAAACTGCCGTGCCACGGAAGGAACGCGAGCTTATGGCAACTTAAAGGTGAGCGAGCTTGAACGAGCTGAAATGTGTATCGTCCGAGAGGTGCAAATGGAAGTCTTCCCGGATGAGTATCAGTCCCTGCGGGCAGGCGATAAGATAGAGAAGGGCAGCGCGCTTTGGAACCTCAGTCCCATCATGGACGATGACGGCATAATGAGAATCGGGGGTCGAATAGACGCAGCAACCATGGTTCCGACCTGGCGAGACGCCTCGCGATCTTACAAATGTCATGTAACAGGAATTGTAGTTGACTATTTTCACCGAGTTTGGAGACAACAGAACGAGTCGACGGTAATTGCCGAAATTCGTCGTAAGTATTACTTGCCGCGCACGAGAACGGAAGTACGTCGCGCCGCTACGAGATGTCAAATATGACTCAAGGGGAAAGCCGTTCCTCGACCGCCGCAGATGGAACAACTACCGGCAGTCCGGCTTACACTATTTCTTAGGCCCATTTATGATAACCACCGGTCGGCGAGCGAAAAGCGATAGATCGCTTTATTCACTTGCCTTACTACACAGGCGATACACTTGGAATTGGCGAAGGACTTGACAAGTGATAATTGATGCGTATACGGTCGGATAATGGTACGAACTTTGTCGGCGCTGACAGAGAATTGTAGCGACAATTTAAGGAGTTTTATGACGGTAAAATAGCCAATGCACTTGTGAACAAGAATGTAGAGTGGGTATTCAACTGTCCCTCAAATCTCCGCGCTGGTGGCTGCTGGGAGCGTCTAGTGCGGAGCGTTAAGCGAGCGACATACCTACGGAACCTACGTGGGCACAGCCTTTACCATCTCATGTGCGAGGCGGAAAGCATTGTAAATTCGCGGCCTGTGACTCATCCCTTTGGACACCACCACTGACGAACTTCTAACCAAAAACCATCTTTTTTTAGGTACAACAAACTCCGAGCAAACACCGCACCCGCAGGAAGAGAAGTTCCAGGCCACACGTAAGCAATGGCGAAAGGTTCAACAAATGCAGTATCGATTTTGGAAAAAGTGGGTTAACGAATACCTGCCTGACCTCGTCCGAAGAACCAAATGGTACCAACCGGTACAGCCCCTAGCAGTATGAGACCTCGTACTAGTATGTGACAGTAGTCAACATCGATCCAGAAGGTATTCCCGGGAAAAGATGGTCAAGTGAGATCTGCAGAAGTCCAGACAAAGACGGGCACATTTAAGCGGCCGACCTGCATCTTAGCAAGATGGAGTTGGGTAAATCTGGTTAGATTTACGGGGGAGGGGCTGTTAGCACAGTTACTCGCTTGTTCATTCAATTGTATTAATCGATTTGTACCTTAATGTTGTTAGCGTAGTTACTTGCTTGTTCAAGCGAACCAATCCTCTATTTTTACCTTAACCCTCTAGTAGGCCAATTTTTTTATGAGTTGAAAAATTCAGGAATGGGTGATTTTAGCACGAGAAATCCAAAAATGATGTCCATTTCGATCTGCGACAGTAACTTTTTCCTACAGGGGAGAAAAACCAAGACCGTCTGGAGACGGGCTCGCCGATATACTTTGACATATTTTCAGCTATCTCTTACACAATGTTCACCTACGAACCGGCAATCCCGTCTTCATACGGTCAAAAATGCAAACTGGGTTTTTATATGTCGGCAAGCCGGTCTGTAGAGGGTCTTTGTTCGAAAGCAAATTTCTCCAAATACGAATGGTGACATAATTATAAAACTTATAGTAAAATACGGTGCTTTTAACAACGAAATCCACCAAATTGTTTTATATCAAAAAATTTTTCAAAAGAAAAAATTTCTTTAATTACGAAATTACTAAATAGGAAGAAATAATTAATTTTAACCGTGTTTTCAAAATCTTTAATTCAACTGCCGATTAAAATAAAACGGATTGACATAACGGATTAAAATGTACACCGCCGTAAAGGTACGATTTTTGTCTAAACATCGTGCCTTACGAATATAGAAAAAAATTATTATAGGTGCACTAAAAAGGTGTTTAGTTAACGACCGTCTGGAGGCGGTTCAGCCTACTAGAGGGATTAATGTAATGTAATAATTGTAATTCTCTAATTTTGTAAAGACGACCACATTAATGAAAAACTCATTCGTTTTTAGTGGAGGAAGCACACAAAAGTGTAAGAGTTGTTTTTTTTTTTTTGAAAATTATTAATTGTATATGTCTATGTATACTTTTTAGGAAATAAAGCATCACGCTTTGGAAAGCGTGCTTGTCAGCAAAAGGCTAGCTCTTATTTTTTCGTTCCTCTCCTGATCGCGTCTCAACAAGCGTGCAACAACGTATTTTTAGAGGAGATGACTGACCTCTGCCTAAATCAAGTTAATGTACTTTGCAATAAATTTGGTAAAATGTTAGATCTTGTTTATGTTGATAATACATCTAAGTCCGCTGTAAATAAATGTGACCCACTAGTTTTGCCCGAATATGTCTACCACCCTGCTATTGAGATATCTTACAAAATTATAAACGATGGACAAAATTGTGGTATCCAAACATACGAACCAAATATTCGCTTTGATCTTTCGAAGCCAACTTTAAAAAACTGATTTAAGAATTGCCTAAATTGGCAAAATACAAAAAAAAATTTATTGGTTTCGGTGGTCCCCCTACATTTCTAAATATTCCAAAGCTCGTAAAAAAATTAAATAAGAAAGTTAGATCTAACAATGCAAATTTGCAGCGCGGGTGAATTCAAAAACCAAACTCGGAGTGGCCAAAATAAAAGTAAAATATTTTCTTGTGTTC